GAGGATGACATTGCCTTTCGTGATTGGTTCCTGAATTCTTATTGTCTGAAACTGGTGGGTAAAATCTGCTTCTAATGGACTGATGACTGAAATCGTCTTCTCTGGCATTGCTTGGTGAAATCTACTTTTTTGGAACTTGTATGGCTTATTGTGATTTGTTGGTGAAATCTGCTTGTTTTCATTGGTTGGTGTGATTGATTGGTCAAATCAGCTTGTTGTGACTGGTAATAATAATAATAATAATAATAATAATAATAATAACAATAATGAAGAGTATTTATATTGCGCTTAACCTAAATTAGCTCTAAGTGCATTGGTCAAATCAGCTAGTTGTGATTGATTGGTGAAATCTGCTTATTGTGACTGGTTGGCAACATCTAATCACCTGAAATTGGTGGGTGAAATCTGCTTGTTGGGAACAGGTAATAAAGCCTTGTTGGTGAAATCCAAGTGTCTACAACTGCTGGGTTAAATTTGCTTTTAGGACTGGGTAAAACCTGCTTGTTGTGACTAGTTTGCAAAAACTAATTGTCTGAAACTAGTAGGTGAAGCCTTGTTGGGATTGGTTGGTGAAATATAAATGTCTGAATCTGATGGGTTAAATTTGATTTTGGGCCGATGGAAGAAATCTGCTTGTTGGGACTGGTTATGAAACATTTTTGGGATTGATGGGCGACATAGTTGTGGCTTGTTGGTGAAATCTAATTATCTAAAACTGGTGGGTAAAATTTGCCTCGTTGGGACTGGTCATGAAACCTTGTTAAGGCTATTGGATGAAAATTAGCTTTTGTGACTGGTTAATAAATCTAAAATCTGCTTGTTGGGAATGGTGGGTAAAACTTGTCGCTCGTTAGGAACGGGTAATAAAACCCTCTTGTGACTGTTCGGTGAAATCTAATTGTCTGAAACTGGTGGGTTAAATAAACCTGCTTGTTGATACTGGTTATGAAAACTTGTTGGGACTGATGAGCGACACATACTTGTTGCAGATTAGATTCATTATTTATTTACAGACACTTAGTATTCACACAGGAATTAGAATTATTTTGGCAATAACCAAAGTTATATTGTTTGGTTTGTCTAACAAAATATACATACATTGTACACTGGTACAACTGTACTTCACCTGTCACACAAATTGTTTGACATCTAAATTGTTGAATCATTTCTTTTATTATTAAGTATAATTAAAAGTATTTGCATTAATGTGCTGATGTGATGTATTGATAGACGATGCACTGAGTGATGGCTGACAAAATGTCTCTAAAGTGCAAAAACCTTAATTTCTTCATTTAGGAGCAGAGGTATTTTGATTATTGAACAAAATTGTTATTGATACATTTTGTTTAAAAAAATCATTAAATAATTGTCTAAATGAATCAAGTCAAATGTGAATTTGGATGCATCAATGGATTTTATGAAAGCATGCATGTTTTTTAGGGAAATTTACTCTATAAGACCCCTGCACTTGACTCAAAGAATACACATTGGCTATAGAAACCAATTGGTAATGCACATTACCCATGAGTCTTTGCAGTTTCCTTCACTGTCATTTGGCTTTTTCAAACTGATACAAGAGGTTTCTGTTGGCTAACTATATAATATGAAACGTTTTCAAATGATGTTGCTCGTTGTGCTCATTGATTGACTGATTTGATTCAATTGCTATTAAAATTTATAAAGATGAAGAGAATGCCTTTGTTGCACTGAGAGTATAGGTTTCATTTCTACAAGAGACTTGTAATACCATAAAAAATAAATTTTTTGATTTTGTGTCCCCTGAACTAGACGAATGAAACAAACACAAATTTGAGCAAGGCATTGATCATATTTTATTACTCAATATTTGATGAGTAATATTATACAGTGACCAAAAATTAGGCATACAAAGACGCAAAAACAAAGATTCAATTATCATACCTAAATTTATGTTTGTTTATTTTTTGTTACAATTTTAAGTCTATCACAAACTTATGGATTAAAGTCAGAGACGAACTCATCCCCAGGATTGAGCCCATATTTTAAGGTGTTACACTTCAGTGAAGCCCATGCCATTCGCTTAGTATTGAAATTATATCCAATATCACCTTTGTTGCCTACAACAATCACTCCACCAGTGCCCTTAACTCTCTCAAACATGTACTCAATTGATTTATCTGCAGCAGCCTGGGGAGTCAAACCCTGCTGAATTAAATACAGCACATGTCTTGATAATGTTACTTTCATAATGTTTTCTCCATGCCCAGTGGCAGAAGCGGCACCATAGTTATTGTCGCAATAAGCTCCACTTCCAATAATTGGACTATCGCCGACTCTACCAACTCGTTTTGCTGTAATTCCACCAGTTGATGTAGCACAAGCTACATTGCCATGGCAATCAACAGCGACAGCTCCAACAGTATCATGAGGGTCACCACGACTACAAAAAAACTCATTTACAGTGACTTTAAATTTCTTATAATGCTCCCAATCATGTCTGGCAGAGTCAGTTACCAAAGAGTCAACGCTAACTTCTTCAATTCCCATCTCCTCTGCGAACATATTGGCGCCTTTACCGACCAAGACACAATGGTCAGTACGTTCCATCACAAGCCTTGCTAACTTTACAGGATTACGAATGTTTTGAACAGCAGCGACAGATCCTGCCCTCAACTCGCTCCCCTCCATGATAACAGCATCCATCTCCACCTCCCCAATTTCATTCAGAGTAGAGCCACGCCCTGCGTCAAACACAGGGTCATCTTCTAAAGAGCATACAGCCGCTTCCACCGCGTCCAAAGCACTTCCACCACTGTGCAAAATCTTGTACCCTATTTTGGCTGCAATCTGTACCCCAAGCTTGCTAGCTTCGGCAAAGTTGTCCGGTATTGCCCATGCCCCACCGTGAATAACAATGGCTGGCTGTAACTTCGTGTCCATTTTTGTTACGCTATGAAGTCAACAGGAGAAGTACAGTGCAAATGTGCGTTACAGTCTGGTGGTAGTCGTTCTTACTGGGCGTCCAATTTGGCCTGTGCATGAATGTAGCGGTCGGCCGACTTGTCTCGTTTGTACTCAAGATACCTGCGTCTCCCTGCACAAGCTTTATAGCCTACTACTGCACCAAGTGCAAAGCAGAGCGTGCAGAGTACAAAGGTCGATTTTCCAGAGAACTCGCCGCCAGAACCCATACTGAATTGATTAATTGCTACAGAACGTTGACAATGTACCTCGGAGTTCGCAACGAAGAGTAACCACGCTGCAGTGTCCACGTACCTAATATAGTCAGAGAAAGCGATCCTTCACAATCTGCACAAAACAGACATAAACGCTTTAAGAAATAACCTTTGACCCGGAAATGATTTCTTCCAAGCGATATCCTCGGGGGGGGGCGGACATCCGGGCATTTTCTACCGCCTGGCAACCCTTGCGGTGAAAACAAAGACCAAAAACTCGCAGAAAACGGTACTTTGCAATGGTTGTTGAGAGTTCCCTGAACAGTGTAACAAGATTAGCCCTACGTGTGTGTCATATATGAATTTGGTTGTTCAGGATTACTTCAAAGTTGAGTTTGTGTTGTTTTCTCGAGTTTTCACCGGCTCCACCGGCGTTCCACAGCAGCGCGCACAAAGCCCATAGAAATACGTGGTACAGTGGTGCGCGTCTTAGAAACGTAGAACGTCTGTGACGTAGCTCCGCCCCCGAGGATTGATTTGTTTCCTATAATTTTATTTTCTAAAACCAATATAGCAATCTGTTAAATGACATACCGTGAAAAATAGCACATTTTGTACTGTAATCATTACAATAATTTCAATTGCGACAAAAAACAAATAACGTGAAAACAAAACAATTACTGCAAAGAACTGAGTAAGGGCGTACTGCAGTAGAAACCCTCCATTCATCGTATTAACGAGCGAGTGTTTTTATGTTTTGTTGCAACAACTAAAAATCGGGAAAAATCAACACTTTATAACTTTGTGTTAAACAAAAAGTAGAGTTGAACTAAAAATTACGTCTTAGTTAAAATTAGATGTTCTGTACCAGTAAATAAAACGTGTTCAAAGATGATACGAGGGGGTCAAGGTTCGAGTGCATTTATGATGCCTCTATCGTACCAACAATCTATACAATGCGTGCTGCTTTTATTTGCAACGTCGTAAATCGTTGTCTCTGTATACATGAAAATTTGACCTGGAATATATTTCACAAAACTATAATCACATTACCAGAGGTGTTCAGACACCCAGTTGTTTACGCTACCATACAAATTAAGTCTATAATCGGACCCATCGATTTTTTGGGCCCAACACTAAGTGGTTGACTTTTCACGATCGGCTGTGACCTCCAGGTAGACATTTCGACTCGAATCCCCTCATTTAAGGGCTGACCATTTAGAAACATGGAGGGGGCAATTAAAAGTAGCCCATTCCGAATCATGGGGCGCTTAGAAAAGAGCGAACATAATAATAATAATAATATTTATTAAGCCTTCGGAACGGCAACAAAATAAAAGAAGAAACGAAAAAAACATACATATAAATGCCCCACAATTACACTCCTATAATGCGAGTCCACCATGAGTGAGTCAATAAATAAATTACAGTGCTTGTTTTGTTATAGATAAACATTATTTATTGAAACAATTATAATGTTGGTGCAAATTTTAGATGATACGGC